ATGAGTTAGGCCTTTAGTCGGTGTTTGCAAGATTAGAGTTATGCCTGCATTTGGAGCAGAATTTACTCCATATATTTTCCCTCCTTGCCAGTTCATCGGCTAAGCAGTTGCCAGGAATGTCCCTGTACCCAGGGATCCATACAACAGTCAAGGAGCATTTTGATGCCAGCCAATTGGGACTCTTCCTTCATTCTATGGCTACTTTAGACGTTATTCCGTTAGATTTAAGATATTTGATACCAGCCTAGCTGTCAGAATAAATGTTGATAGGCCGTCCTCCGAGCGGCGTCCATTATGGCGTCTAGATATGCTTGAAAACCGCTACCCACTCTTTTACTAAGCTTGAAACCATCAACGCTATAGTTCTGAACACATTGAAAACGACGAGCTACCGACCACAGCTTCCAATTTGTCATCTTTATTATCTAAGCGCTTTGTCGATGGCGACATGATTTCTTTGAACGCGGCAGCGACATCATGAATTTGTATGAGTTTGACATAAAAGAAGAGGAAGAACCTTATCTGTCGCCAGAAAAATAGAAATAGATATAATCTGGCCACAACCACAGCCGTCGCGTAGCCCGGTCGTCGCCAAAATAATTATCTACATAAGAGTACGTGTTAAAATAATTTGACAGCTGTGGTTTGTAGCTCGTCGTTTTCATTGTGTTCGGGCTATATGACTTGACAACCGGTTTCCTTTAGGCTTAGAAGTAGGGCGTTAAGCAAAATCGCAAGCAAAGTAGCAAAATCGATTAGAAAATCAATAAATATATCGATAACAAAATCGATAAATATCGATAACAAAATCAATAAATATCGATAACAAAATCAATAAATATCGATAACAAAATCGATAAATATCGATAGAAAAATCGATAAATATCGATAAAAAAATTGATAAATATCTATAACAAAGTCGATAAATATCGATAACCAAATCGATAAATATCGATAACAAATTAGTCTCGAGAATACCGAAAATTTCTAAAATCCCAAAATATTTCCCAGAATGAGTCTCTGTGTCTCCCTTTATATCCTTTCCTCTTTAATTACCTTTATTTTAATCTTTCTTCCCCTATCTTCGTCTTTACTTTTATAGGTATCCTCATTCTAATCTTTGTTTTTTACTTTTATGTTTATCATTTTCATCACTTCACCCCTTATATAAGCAAATGTTTAAATATACCTTGGTCTTCATTTTTGCCTTTATCTTTACGCATCTTTGTTTTTGTTTTTATTTTTATCTTTGCCTTTATCCTTTCGTTATCTATGTACGTACTCACCTTTACTTTCATTCTTGTATTGGTCTATTTCTAAATGTTATTCTTTGACGTTTTATTAGCAAATTTTTGTTAAATTAATACCATATGCATACAGAAGAAGCACTTCTTTCAGCCCCAACCATTTCCGTGTGCAATTTCCGTTGAATTTTCCAATTTACTCCCAACCAACCAACCGCCGCTAAAGAAGTTTCATTTCAATAAAAAACTAAAATGGAAGCAGTTTTTCACTTAAGTAGCGATTTTCGCAAAGAAAATTTTGAATTCAGTTAGGGCTCTTAAAATTTATAAAAATATGCAACGGTCAAATGTATTCAACTAATAAATATCTTGCCTAGCAGTTATTGCAGTTAAGCTTCGAAGTTCTAAGCATCTTGCGATATTAGAAATTGATACTTTAACTAAGCTTTAGTAGTGAAGAAACTTTTTTTGGCAACCACTCGTGCAAATGTATAATCAACTCTGCTGCAAGTTGTTGAAGTTGTGAAACTTGTAATATTTTCAGCCTTTTTCTAATTACTTCCTCCGTATCTTTTAAGTATTCCTAAGTATGATATTTCTTTGAACAGTGCAAATGATTTTAATTATGTTGTAAAATATCTTGTTCACTTTCGTAACTAACCGCCCGCTCCTAAGTTTTATGTGTTAATTAATTTGTAATGAATGCAAGGAAGCAAGCCGCATCTGTGGTTCCTACTGATTATAGGAAGTCTAATACAATCAAAATATATACGTACATACAAACTGCATACATGCGTATGAAATCGAAGTACATATTGATTTAAATGAACGTTCGTTACGTTTTAATGAAAACTATAATAAAGAGTCATTCCATACGAAAACGTCTGAAAATACAAAAAAAAAAAAACACGTAGCAGATCCATTAAAGATTTCGCTGTAACTTTGCGGGACTTTTCTTTAGAATCGCAAAGAACAGAACTTACGCAAAATTAAATTCTTGGAAACGCTCGTCTCCGCCTGCCCCAATTAAAAGTTTCAGAAATCGCGATTTTTATGCTTTAACAAATTTAGCTGAGGCGGCATTTAGAAGGGAAATATAACAGTTTCCATGTAAGCAAAGAAAATGGTATAAGAGGCATTCCACACTATTTCAATTGGTGAAAAACTACTTTTGTTCGATTTTCGGATATGTTGCAGAGGAAGTCCTGAATTGTTTGTAACAACAAAACAAAAAAAAATTTGATTTTTTTTTTTCAAAAGTTGGTTGTATAAAAAAACCAGTTTGTACTTTTTTATTGACAAAGAATGAGAGATTTATAAAAAATTATAATTTTTTTCAGTCCAATTTGTCATACCCAGGCATACGATTGTTAAGGAACAATATAGAAAGTTGCTAAAAAAAAACATGTTTGCAGGTTTTTAAAAATCTGCAAAAAATATTTTATTTTTTTATCAGGCTCTGCTTTACGAAACAATTAATATGTCAGGCCCAATATCGATAAAAAAAATAAATAAATGTAAAATTAAAATTAGGTCGAAATACGTGAAGTGAGCCTTTTAAAACTCTTTTCTTTCGGATAACCAAGACACTTACTTTGGTAGAACTCCAGGTAATATATATTTCCCTATACTTTGTTTTGCAATAATCATTTCTTTGATTGGTCATATCTCCTAATCGGGCAGAGATAACTTAATAATTTTGGTTTAAGTAACTGGAAAACTCCACTTTATTTGCACAAATTTTTAAATTTCTATTAAAAAAAGTACCACTTAAAAATATAAAATTTTTTCGCAAAATTATAAAAAAAATATTCACGTTCTCAATGTTGTACAAAAAAGATCTGTAGCTTGTAAGATAGATTGAAATAGCCTGGAATGCCTCATAAGTCCATTGATTTTCTTTTTAGTAGCTTAAGGAAAACAAAAAATGCTTGATTTTAGTTACCTCTAAACACGTTTTCGTCGAATTTATATGTTTTTTAATTTACTTTCGTTCCCACAGAAAAAGCGTTGTGTAATTATTTTAATATTAGGGAAATCTTTTTTTTTGTCACTTTAGTCAGAGGGAGTAAAAACACAAAAATATTTAAAGGCGCAGCGAAGCACGCCGGATATTTAATACTATCTTGTAAATCCTTTCTTCAATAAATGTTTTTAAGGATCGGCATTTGGATAACTGGTAACCTTTCAAAAAAATTACCCAGTAAAGCTTTCTTTTCATTCGGCACTAATCTTGCACTATTTCAAAATTTGTCGTTTTAAATTTTATCACACACAAAAAATTATTTGCCTGTAGGCCTTGCCATCTGTTGAACAATTAAATTCATTAAGGGAAAGATGTATCCCCATATGGGTGCCAAACGAAAGGGGTTTCAGAAAATAGTTCGAAAATATTTTGTAGAGGTTTCAGTTAACTTATATACAATGAAATATCAAAATACGCCAAACAAAATTGTGTTAAAAAATCTTTAGTTCGAACACTAAGAATATTTTTGTGTTGAGAGTTGCCACCCGTTGATTATAAAGTCAAATTCAAATTATTTAATAGGCTTAATGAATGTTAAAATATTACCATCGATCGAATCGAGGGTTGCCAAATGCTTAAGAAAATCAAATTCAACTTAATTCATCAGTTAATTAAAATATGTATCACAACATCAGACGAAGGATATTCAAGACGGTTTTAGCTTGAAACCACTTTGGAAGAGGGTTGCCACCAGTTAAAAAAGACGAATTTGACTAACTTTGATGCAAACTATTTAAAATAAGAAAATCAGGTTTCAAGCGAACTATTGTTAACAAATCTTCAGTAAGAATATTTATAATGTTTGAAGAGGGTTGCCGCGTGTTTAAAAACTAGAATTCAAATTATTTAATAAGTTTGATGAATTATTAAAAGGTCGTTAATGGAAATGGATTTGAAAGGTTTTATTTCTGAAATATGTTTTAAGGGTTGCCACCTGTTTAAAAAATCCAGCTCTACCTTAAGTAAGGCAATTAGGTAATTAAAATATGCATCATAATTTAGATAATCGACGAAAGAGATGTGTGAAGATTTTAATTTGGAAATTCTATGGAAAAGCATTTCTACCTGTTTGAACATTCGAATTTAGTTTTATCAGTACAGAGTGACTTGGAATTTGATGATATTAAAAACCGACGCTTTGCGAGACCTCTCTGCCCTCAGAAATGTCTGCACGGATTTAGATGAAGTATGGCACTCAGATCGCTTATAACTCCGACCGATATTTGGAAAAGGTTCTAAGTTTTCGAATTCAAATTTTGGTTGTTATAACGCCATGCGGGTTCACTAGTTTACTTTATTTTTTCCATTTTACTTCAAACTGAAGTATCATTTAAATTTATAGCGTCCGACAGCTACAACATATTTTTAATTAGTCACTTTAAATAAAAAATTTACTAACTATTTTGCTTATAAATTCAATTCGAAACTTTTTAACTGACTTCGCAAAAAGGAGAAGATTATCAATTCGTCGGAATATATTTTTTTTATGTATGTTACCCCATAACTTTGGACCTTTTTTAACCGATTTCTATAATTCTTTTTTTAATTTGGTTTAAATCCGATCATTGGATCATGAAGAAATTAACGATAATCTTAAATTTTTATATGAGAATTGAAGTCGGTTTTGTTTATTGCTTAAAAATTACTTGCTTAAAATTTTATTTCGCTAATAGCATAGAAATATGGAACATTTTTCGTATTGTAAATAGCATCTAGCTGCTTCAACTCACCTTAACTTTGGTCTTTTTCCGACTACGATGCGGCATCGTAACATCAGTCAATTTCAATAATTTCGGTCTAATTGGACGTTTGCCACTCTTTCCACTGCGATCGAAGGTCAAATCCAAATATGTTTCTGAAGTCATTTTTATTCTCTTTGTGTACTCTTTATGTTAATTAAAAGTCTCTTCATCGGGTTTGTTGGAAGTAATTTTCTGTGTAATTATGCTGAAAATGAAATTAATAAAAAAACATGTGTTATTTTAAAGAAAATGGCAATACAAGTATCTAAGAAAAATCATTGCAGTAATACTTATACTATACTATATGCATTATTATAGTTTTAAAATACATTGTTTGACATATATTTAGTTCCAAAAATTGCGAGAACTGTCTCATAAATAGAAGATTAAGGTCAAATACTTAGCCTTGGAATTCTGATAAAATATATCGATTGTGTTATAATTAAATTTAAATCTAGAGCATATCGTTACCTGAGGTGAAGATCGAGTAGCCAGTTAGAAAACGCCCTATCTTAGAAAATTTTTCAAGAACTCCCTACTTCAGAATTTGGTTGAAGATGGACCTATCTTGGCTGCCGATTTAAAAATGCCTTTTCTGAGGACATTTTGCATGTATTTTCAGCTGATATAGGGAGCTTTTGAACCCGATTCCGAGATAGGGCGTTCTTCAACAAAACTCTAGTGTCGATATAAGAAATTATTTTATCGCTTTTTTTTTTAGATATTTTAAGGCATTTGTACATATTAAGCCTCAAGCAAAAAAGTGAGATTGAATAGTTATTTACTTTTGCAATAAATGCAAAAACAAAAAAGCTTCCCATTTAAAATGGTCACCGCCCAATTCCAAGTTGATTCCTGGACACTGTGAAAAGGCATAATCCTCTGATGTTGATGGATTTACTGCCGTTTTCTCAAGTAGCTTTTCAATTTTATGTGCCCTTCAAACACATTGTTTCCGAAGAAAATTTGTGTTTAAAAGGCAGATAAATTTTAAAACCTAATTTTTCTTTTACTGTTTCATCTTTAAAAGTTAATGAAGTTAGGTCTTTGAAGTTAATGAAAGCTAAAGAACGAATACTACACATGTATAGCAGGAGCGGACTCAGCAGCAATTCTTTGGGGGCGGTGAAATATTTTTATTTAGCTTATATCGTGAATAACATAATAAAATAGGGTGTACTGAAGTAGACAAAGCACAAAATAAATGTTCAGAAAAGTGCAAAATTTCTGGAATTTTTTAAAAATGTTAATATATTTTAGGATTTTTTTTTCGACAATTTGTGATGTCTCATATCTTCATATTTAAGGATGAATTTCAGAATAAATAAAATTCTCAAAATTTGGGAAAATATAAAAATTTCTGAAATTTCAATAATTTTGTACATTTCAAAATTTTTTCATTTTACCAAAATTTCTAGAATCTCGATAATTTTTAAAATTTTGGAAATTATCCTATAAATAAGAAATCCCAAGAAATTTAATAATTTCATAAAATTCAAATTTTTGGAATTTTCGTTATTTTCTAGACCTGCGAAAATATTCAAACTTGCTGTGACTTTCAACAAAAAAAGTAAAAATTGAAAGTTAAGTAATTTGAAAATTTTGAAAATTCAGTGAATTCAAAGAAATGATATGCATTTTTCACCAGTGTGTTATAATTATATGATACAAATATAATTTTTCAGAATCAATCATTGCGCAATTATGCGGACGCAGAAATTTCCCAATTTTCGACCCCCCCTGGATCCTCCACTGTGTATATAGGTATAGGTGGGATCTCTTGCTAGGTGAATATAAAACGAATGAAAACATACAGTGGGAGTCAAAAATGGATGACGAGGCTTTGTTTTTAATATTTGCAATGTATTTCAAGCCAGCATTTTTATACTTTTTTATAAAAATGTTTCAACAAAAACCATATAAATCACACTTTCAAACTTTATACAGAATTTAGAAAAAGTCCACAATCGTTTATTTTAGAGCTTTTTAACCAGAATTTTTATAAATTTTTTGGGTATGCAGTTAATAGGCTCATAAAATTTTGGTAAAATAAATGCAAGTTTTGACCTGCTAGAAATCGCTATGATTTCTAATAATTTTTTTTTTGTGACGGCATTTTGCACTTTTTTTCATATAAACATAAATTTCTTGTTGAAGAATGTGCGCAAGCCGGTTTGCAAAAAAAAAATAAATAAATAAAGCCAACGCCAGTTTTCCTAAATTTCGCCATTTATATGAAAAAAGCCGCAAAAGCCGTCAGCAAAAAAAAAAATTATTAAAAGTCAATGCGATTTTTCAGCCGCTCAAAACTTGCACTTGTTTCACTTTAATTTTCAATTCTGCTAACTGCATACCCCAAAAAATTTATAAAAATTCTGGTTAAAAGTCTGGAAATTTAGATAAACACAAATTCCTGGAATTTTTCTAAATTCTGTATAAAGTTTGGAAGTGTGATTTATACGGTTTTTATTAAAGCATGAACCACATTATTATAAAAAATCATCATCAAATAATTTTGGCTTGAAAAACATTGTCATTATTAAAAACGAAACACCACTATCCATTGTGACTGCCACTGTACTTTTGCAACAAAGTTTTCTGAGATAAATTTGATTTTTCTATCATAAATCGAACTTTTTGTTCTTTGCTAATGGAATCTAATTTGGTTGAGGACTCATCGAAAATTGTGTAGTGTTTTAGTAGCGTGTGCACCAGTGGCCGCCGGTGGTAATATTAGTCCATTTGTTCTCATTACGAAAATTTCGATATTAAAGATATTGAAAAATATGTATTAAGCTTATAAAAAAGCCCAAGAAAAACGCGTCATCTCGTGCCATTTCTAGAAAACTTAGAGTCGACCAAAAACGGATTTGAATCGCTTTGCCAAAAATTACGATATTCGAAAAATTTATTGAACTGTTCCTCTAAACGGGATTTGCTGCAAAAATGAAGGTTCGCATGAGTTTTTCAACGAGCATCGCTTGACAGCGAGTCCAGCGCGCTTGCCATACTCATTTCATCGTTTTCCATACAAAATACATTGGACGTCAAGAGAAAAGCGTGAATAACTTTCATCTCGATACATTTCAGGAAATTTTTTTTTATGCAAATAATTGTTTATAGAACGTACAGCAATATTAGCCCAAAACGCGATTTTAAAGCCATTGAGATGTCAGTAAAATTTTTAAAAATTTTAATAACTTTTATATAACAATTTTTATGACCAAATAAAAAATAAAAATGGGAAGAAAACATCATCGTTCCTACTTCACAAATTTTTACTCATTTATGTTAAGAGCTTAGCCTTCTCTTACAACTTTTGGTGTGCGTCTTGACGTCATTATACTAAAATAGGGACATAGAGATTTATGCCGCCTCCGAACGGCATTTGAGTTTTTATGCAAACCTTTTTGATTGCAGAAGTCCGCCTGGACCTTAGCCACTGCCTGCCGAAAGGCAACCGCAATTGACAAAAAAATGCTTTGTTGCTAGGGCCACGAATCTAACCTTCTTTCCAGGTAGCGGCGATATGCAATTACGAGAATATTGTCAAAAGATCGTTGATCCAGACGGAAAATAAAGGCATGTATTTAAAATTAGCATTAAAAAAAATAAGAAAGAAAACCAAATTACTTTTCCGCATAACCCAATGCACGCCTTGAAAAAAAATGCACATGGCTTGTTTTGCTTTATCAATTATAAGAATTTTGTAATTTAAGTAATTGGCATGTGCTGATTTTTTTTTTTCAAGTTCTTACCTGTTAACTTTCCACAAAATTAAGATTTCTCTAGCAAACCGAGATGAAAAAACACAAAGAAAACCCTTTTTAATGGCATTCTGCCAATTGAATCCACATTAAGCGCACTTTCAGAGTAGAGCAATTTCGTAAAAAACCGCAATATAGCCAGACTTTTAAGAACTTTGCCCTGCCCAATTTGTAGCATTCTCCATCCTTCAATTCTTTTCATTCCCACTTTCATTCAGTTTTTTCACCATCGTGATGTACCATTTCCAATTCCATACTGGCAACTAACTCACTCGTATGTATTTCTGCCTCCATAAGTGCTTTGAATTGACTGCGGCATGCGCCTACCCCAATCGATTTGCGTTCGATTTGACATGCCATGTCTGCACTTTTCACTACATACCCTATTGCCCATCTGTATGTCCTGCGCCTGCCCCCCGCCTACCAACCGACCGGCCTTATAACCTCTTCACTATTTTGCTTGTTACCTTTGTCTTCAATTTGCATTGAATTGTATTTCAATTTGTGTACGGCTGGTAAGCTTGCGAAAGCGCATTATTGACATGTCAATAATTTCTTGCAGCTCCAAGCCTTGCCAAGCCCTTCGCTTTATGCCACTTCAGCTACATACATACTTGTTATCCGCTTGATTGTCAGCATATGTTGGCAATATTGAAATTGTATGTATGTATATTTGCGTGGCTATGTAACTCAGCAGCTGATGTTCATATGAGTAGGTTAGCTCTTACATATAGATAAGTATGTATAGACTTTGAATATATGAATACATATGTACATTAGAGTAGTTAAAAAACACTCTTTTTGTAAATTCATTAACGCTATATCAAAATATTGTTAATTGTGATCAAAAAGAGGCACGTTTTTTTTGAAAAAAATAAATAAATAAAATTTTATAAATACGCTAATGTTCTCAAGTTTTCTATTTTCGTGACATGTTAAAGTATAGCTTAAAATGTTGGTTTTACATACACTGCCAGAACAAAGTACTGGCACAGCAAATTTTTCGCAATGTATGCAAAGATTTTTTCTAATATTTTGTCGCCTATTTTGAATAAAAATATGGTTCATTCTACATATATATAGATTATATATATAGATAGCAATACTCTGAGTTAGTGTTTATGAATTAAAAAAATTATAATTTTTTTTAACCACTCTAATGTATGTACATACTATGCCAATACATACATACAGTGGCGGATTTAAATATTTGCCGCCCCTAGGCAATTCATAACTTGCCGCCCTTTTTTCACGAAAAAAAAAATATATATATATATCAAATATGATTGTTATTGTCAGTGCTTTATTACAATATAGTTCGTTAATAATGAAATACATAACGGAATTAACAAATTCGACATCAGCATGGATAAGGTATTCAACAAAAACCCTCTTTCAAACACTTCTTTTTCACAGTTCTTTACGTCTTGATTTTTCA